ATTTATGACGCCTGCAACCCCCATCGTGGGTCCCAGATCACTGCTTCCAACCCAGCTTCCAACTGACGTACTTCCAGGAGGCAACAGATGACTGACTCAAGTTCTTGGGTCCCACGACCCACGTGGGAGACCCAGCTGGAGCTCCTAGCTCCCGGCTCTGGTCTCATCTAGTCCTTGCTGGTTGTGCACATTTGGGGAGTGAAGCCCCGATTTCTTTATCACTCTCTGAGATGAAAGCAAACACACAAGAAAACAACAACAAAAAGACGGCCTGCAGCCAGGCTGAGGAAAGGACAGCTCACCTGGTCAGGGCCTGAGACTTTCCCCCAATCTCCCCTCAATTGGCTCAGGTGCAAATAATTGTAAAGGTAGAAAAAAAAAAAAAAAACAGTGATGGTTTCACAGCAAGGGCACTTATCAGAGACAGCTGCCATGCCACCTGCTGTGCTGAGTGCTCTATGTGTCTTATCTCAAGAGGTCGCAACCCCTAACTGTAGCCACAAAGTCAGAGTAGAGCATTTTAAGAAGGAAACACACAGGAATGGAACTGAAAAACGCCAGATAGCAGCCCATCAAATAAGGGCAAGCCTTGTTTCGTGAAACTTGTTTCACTCATGCATGTACCCGTGTATTTTTCATACTAGGTTCCAAGGTAAAATACATCCCTCGCTGTGGCTCAGAAACGTTGCAAAACACTTCCCCATCTATTTCATGAGCCGCCCACTGAGGGCTGACCTGCTAGGAACCTAACGGAGAAAACAAGACAAGTTCCGTTTCCAACCTTCTGTGCTGCTCTCTCGGGCTACCTACTGGTGCTCCTGACACATCCGTCTTCTCTCTGTTCCTCTTTCTCTCCCTGGGACAAGTGCCACTCCCGCAGTCCGGAACGCTCCCATGACCCTCCCCGGCACAGCTGGCTCACTTCCATCCTCAGGCCTTGGCGTGGGGCCTGCCGTGTTGCACGGTGTTCCTCTCCGAGAAGCCCCTCTCACACTCGGTTCCTTGCAGACATGTGCCCGACTGGAACTCCAAAGATGGAGAAAACACCAACCATGGGCCTGACGCAGTAGCCTCGTGGTTTATGTTCATGCCTTGTACACAACGGGATTCCCATATCGGCGCCAGTTTGTGTCCTGGCAGCCCCGCTTTCCATCCAGCTCCCTGCCTGTGACCTTGGAAAGCAGTCGAGGACGGCCCAAAGCCTTGGGACTCTGCACCCACATGGGAGACCTGAAAGAAGTTCCTGTCTCCTGGCTTCCGATCGGCTCAGTTCTGGCTGCCTGCGGCCATTTGGGGAGTGAACCAACAGATGGAAAATCTTCCTCTCTGTCTCTCTCTGTAAATCTGACTTTCCAATAAAAATAAATAAATAAATAAATCTTTAAAAGAGAAAGAAAGAAAACACCTGCTGTGCTCACAAATGCAGGTCTAGCATCTGAAGGGATTTGCTAAGTGAATCAAGAAACTGCCCAAGTCCTCCTGCTTGGTAAACTGCACAGCCAGGCTTCCAGCCTAGCTCTGTCTGATCTCCAGACTCGACTCAGGCTCAGAAACCATAGCATTGCTCCAGCACGCACTGCACTTGGCTCCCCAAGTCGTAGTCTCTCCATTAGGTCACAGGGCAGGGGTCACAAGTGGCTCCCGGAGCAGCCGAGACACTGGAAGGAACATATCAATGAGGAGACTGCAACATCTTCAGACTGGAAGAGGATAAGAAATTTGCTAATGGCCAGAGAAATATCAAAGAATTTAGCTGAATACACAAGGTTTGCTTAGCCCAGGACAGCTGCCAACTCAGAAATGAGGAGCGGGGACTCCTAGGGACAAACAGTATGCTGAGAAAGAGGGGTAGGCAGAGCTGCCAGCGACAGCAGACAAGCTCAACGTGGCAAATGTGCAGGGCACTGAGACGCAGGAAGTGCACGTTGAGGTGATGAGGCCAAGACTGAGCCTGAGGGGACAGATACCGGCTGATTCCTCCTGAGGTCAAGCAGGCGGTAGGAAAAGTTTGACAATGCTGCCCCCTGGTGGATGGCTGTGAGATGCCTGGCCCGCTGGAAAAAAAACGGGAGATAGGTTCCTACTGGGGATCGTTCTTCAGTGATCCCTTGGAGAGTCCTAACAGGGATCTGGCCATTGGGAACTAGAAAGGGGTTTGATGTAGCTCCGACTTCCAAGGACCTCTGATCCCTGGGTCCACACAGCAACCAAACCCGCCTACTTTAACTCGATTCTCGTTGTGATCATTTGTGCATCCCACCACTCCCCAAACAACACGGCAAGGGCAGGGACAGTATCTCACTTATTCTGAAGCTACAGTCAGCACTCAGCCCAGCATATCAGAATAACAGTAGTCACTGCCATGTACTATGGACTTAGTGCTTTTAAAGAGGTTACAGCACTGAATATTTTTAACGTCAATTTTCCTTATCTATATAAAGTGGATAAATCTCATATGTTTCACGATACAGCTTTAGAAGCCTAGCGACACCCACAGCCTCCCCCAGCACTGGATTCCTGCTTCTCCCTTGTGAGACGCAAGCAGGCACGCATCTCACTGGGAACCTGGAGTCCTCGGGGAGGTCAGTCTAGAGAAATGAAGGCAGACGTCACCTGCCCCAAGGCTGGTGTTTTTTTAAAGACTGCTGTCCATTAAAGTTGGATGTGTGTGTGACTTGCCAGAGGACCTGGCTAAAATGCAGATTTTCATTCTGGAGTCCAAGATAGGGACTTAGTTTGGTTCTAACAAGCTACCAGACAGGGTTAATGCAGCATACCCACACACCACATAGGGAATGGCAAAACTCTGCAACAAGGGTGGTGGAAGCACGGGCAGCAAGTCAAACCTGGCCTTGACATGAATGGTAAGCTAAGAGCGACACACTCACTCGGGAAGGCAGACCATCTGTGTATCACAAAGCTTAAAAGACCTGCTGTCCCAACTATGTAAATAATAATAATAATAATAAAAGAGATTTGCTGTCTCTCTTTCATCCCGAGGTGACTTACCTCTAAGGCAACAGAGAGAGAGAGAGATGTTTTCCACCTGCTGGTTCACTTCTCAAATGCTGCAGTAGCCAAGGCTGAACCAGGGTGAAGTCAGCAGGGGTCAGAAAGCGCCATCTGTGGCCCCCACGAGTGACGGGGATCCCAGGGTTGGAACCACTGCCTGCCGCCTCCCAGAGTACACGTCAGTAGGAAGCTGGGCTGGAAGCAGAGGCAGGAGCTGATGGCAGGCATTCAGATCCGGGATGCCAGCGTCCCACATGGCAGCCGAACCCACACTGCCACCGACTCTCAATCAGGAATATCACCCTGGGATGAAGTTCCAGCTGAACAGACGAGGTACAGGCTCTCAAGAAACTGTGTGACTTCCAGATGCCCAGGCCTAGTCTGGGAAGGGACACTCAGCATGAAGTGCTAAGAAGGCAGGAAACAACGAACCAACCCAGACTCCCCGGTGGGCAGGAGTGAGCCTGGGGACAAGTGGGGACAGGTGGGGCTGTGAACAGGGAAGAGGGCCAGAGGCCACTGATCAACTGCCTCTTTTCCTGCTTACCTTGACCCTGGAAGAGAGTGATGGGGACAGGTGGTGATCAACACCACATGTGGGCAGTGCTGAGGGGAAACAAAGCACAAAGCCAAGTCTGCGAATCCGCAGGTTGTTGCTGCTGAGATCTGAGTGAGGGGGAGGCAGATTGGTGGAGAGGGTGTGGAAGGGCAAGCAAAGAGCCAGGCAACAAAACAATGGCCTCCGAGCCCCACATGGGGGCCACCCCGGGCATGCTTCTGCCCCCTCGGTCCAAGAACACATTTGCTGCAATGTCAGTGCCTGAGAAGGTAAATAGAGCTGTCCATTTCCATCAACTTGACCAACGAATCTGGCTCTCTTTCAACACTGGATCAGGCTGTTTTGACCTCCACTGTGAAAGGTTTGCTTGTCCGACATCAAGTGTTCACATGTATTTCCAACGGCCGACAATGGCACCCTTTCATGGGAGTGCAGAAAGACTGTGGAGAAGCCTGTGGGGCAGGATATCTGTAGAGCCAAACTGATCTTACATGCTAGGAGGCAAAGAGAAGACAGGGGGAGGCAACAAAGCTGCTGTGTGTTGCAAAACATATTCCGGAATTTCTTGGTTAAAAGGAAACTTTAAAGTTAGGCAGTGTCCTTCATGTCTGCAGTGTAGCGCCTACAGAATCCGACCATCTGGTGCAGGACAGCATGCATGCATAGTACGCCTGCGTTTGGACATGGAATATGCTTTATTCCAATGAACCACAAAAATGTTCTCAATCAAAAACCGCCTCTGCTTGTCAACCATGAGTCTCTGCCCTTCACCCAGACCAGCCCCCACTCAACCACACTACTACCTCCCCTAACAGGAGATGAACAAGCGAGGGTCTGATCTGACCCAGAGCACTACTGGACCGGTACTCGGAGCCCTTAGTATTTCCTGCCACCTGCTGGCTGTGTGATTTTGGATACAGTTACTTAACCTTCTGAAACCCGTTTTCCCACTTGCGCAGTTTCCTCACAGCACAGCTATTTGGAGGATTATATGCGTTGGCCCACACAGACTAGCTGGAATCTTGGCTTGTACAAGAGTGAGGGTTCTGAACTGTTGACAGTTATTATTGCTCAACTGATAGATGAATTTGTTCTTTCTAGCCCATGGATCATACTTTCCTCTCCCAACTTCCTCTACACCAAAATCGCGTCACTCAGCTCCGACACAATGGACTTCTCTTCATGCGGGGCTGTCCTGGCAGCGTCTCTGACCCCTGCCCACTAGATGCCAGCAGCACTTTTCTCATCAGTCTGGACAGCTCAGCAATGTCTTCTGAGATCGCAAATATCCCACAGGGTTAAACCCGGCTCTTTCACTGAGAGCTACTGTGCTATGCAAATCAGATCCGCGTACCCTGATGACCACACCCCTCATTGCCCACCATCCCACTCTGTGCACACGCAGCCACCTCACCCACCACTGGCTCACCACTCAGCTGCCTTGGAGGGAACAGGTGGTAGGTGCTGTAAATGTCATTGGAGAACTGCAGCTGGAGCTCAGGGCTGCCCGTCAGCAGCTGGGCCACCTGGTCCACTTGAAATGGCGTCTTCTCCATGATGACAACAGCATCTTCTCCATCGCCTGGACCAGAAGCCTCATTCACCTGTGGGCAGAGATACCGTGAGTGGCCCCAGCGGCATGCTACGAGATCTCCTCTATTGCAACTTTTCTAGTCAGTGGCACCCACACCTTTCTCTCAGGGAAGGTCCTTCACCGTACATCCTTGTGGCCCCCTCACACCTTCCTTCTGAAAGAATCAAAGACTTTAAGCTTTCGCTTACGAGACCTCTATCAAATTTCCCATTTTAGGAGATGAAGAAGCTGAGATCTAGAGAAATTGAGCGGCTTCTTCAAGGTCACAAAAATGGTCAGCGGTGACACAGAAACAGGATCTGGGTCTACCAACCAGCAGCCAACTCGAAGGCTCTCAGGGCACCCATCTTCAGCAGGCGATTCACACTGAAGATCAGCGGGGCTGAGAAAACCCAGCAGGCCCTCACAGAACAGCAGTCACACACAGGTCTTCCACAGACAACAGCGAGCTCCTGCAGGCAGTGTGGGAAGCCCCCGGACCTGTCTTCCGCCGGGCCTTCTCAGTGTCGGCTGGAGAGCTGAGAACCTGAGCAGCTGTGCGCACCTGCCTCCTGAGACACACTCTGTAATCCTGAAAGCCGGGCTCACAACGTCACAGCGCCAGCCAGCACACGGCAAAGGGCTATGTCACCCACATCACCCAGCATCGGCCCAGGCACACCCTGGGGGCAGCAGGTGCTGATCCGAGGATTTGAGTCTCTGCCACTTACACGGGAAACATGGCAGATCCAGGCTCCTGATGTGGAACTGACTCAGGTGCAGCTATTGTAAGCGTTTGGGGAGTGAACCAACCAGTGCATGGAAAAGAATCTATTTCTCTCCTTTCAGATAAATAAATATTTTCTAAAAAAGAATAGAAATGGGCCAGCATGATGTTCAATTGGCTTATCCTGTCTGCCAGCACCAACATCTCACATGGGCACTGGTTCATGTCCCAGCTGTTCCACTTCCCATCCAGCTCCCTGCTTATAGCCTGGAAAAGCAGTCGAGGACCGCCCAAAGCCTCAGGACCCTGCATGTGCATGAGAGAGGAGGAAGAGGCTCCTGGTCCTGGCTTCGGATTGGTTCGCCCCGGGTCACTGCAGCCACTGTCAGCCAATCAGCTGACAGACAACTTTCTCTGTGAATCTCCCTTTCAAGTTAAAAAAAAAAAAAAATCTGTGCCTTTCAAACAAAACTAAATACTTCTTTAAAAATAAGTTTTAAAAAGTGACTATATGGACTTCAGTAAAATTTAATAAGACTTGTCATGGCTGAAATAGTGTAACATCTAGAGCAGGACCTAGCAAGACATCCAGCAACAATTACCGTTACTGAGACAATGTGAATGAATACCTTGGGGAATTTAACGAGTGTGGGTTTGTTCTGTTTTTTTAAGCCATAGTTAGATGTGGGGGAGAGGAGACACTCATCTTCTATCCACTGTTAAATCACTACCCAGACGGTCACCGCGTTCCGGCCTGGTGCAGACAGGCGCCACGAGCGTCCTCCGGGTCTCCCAAGTGGGCATGCTGCTTTCTCAGGCTGTTAGCAGGGCGCTGGGACAGAAACGGGGCCCTCGGGACACGAACCCGTGCCCCTGGGTGAGGCCGACGTCTCAGGCGGGCCCTAATGCGTGGCTTTTGGGGTGCCATTCCCTTTGCAACTACTAGAGCATGCTTCTAGTTTCAGAGGAATTCGTAAAAGTACACCACAGCGCCCTTGCAGGCTAGCGGCGAACCCCGCCTCCCCCGGGAGCCGAGATTGGTGTTGTCCCGCCAAGATCTACAAAAATAAATAAATAAACAAACAGAATCCTCCTTGCAAAGCGACGATTGGCTCCCTCCAGCCCGCGTCCCACCCAGAGTCTGCCCAATGGTACCTTCCCATGTAAGACAATGATTTTGTCCCGCGCAGACTCCCGCAGCACTTTCTGAACTCTAAAGCCGGAGAACGGTAAGCTGGCGGGAGCAGAAGTGCCGTTTCCAACGCCGCCTTCCTTCTGCTCGGGACTGGGGGCTTGCGCCTCCTCCGCGTCCCAGTCACGCTTCCTCTTGATGGCTTGGGGCTTTGCGTCCGCCATGCTGCCCGCGAGGAGCTGTGCGCCTGCGCGCCCCGCCCGCCGCCTCCCGGCGTGCTTCGCGCGGGACCCGGCCGGGGAGGGCCGAAAAAAGGGGGCTGGGAGTGGGGACCCCGGACATGTAGGGGGACCCGGGCGTGTGGGGACCCGGGGGTGTTGCGAGATCCGGGACTGTGGGGGGACCCGGGGCTGTGGGGACCCGGGCGTGTGGGGACCCGGGGGTGTTGCGAAATCCGGGACTGTGGGGGGACCCGGGGCTGTGGGGACCCGGGCGTGTTGGGGTCACGGGGGTGTTGGGGTCACGGGGGTGTGGGGACCCGGGCGTGTTGGGGTCACGGGGGTGTTGGGTCCCGGGGCTGTGGGGACCTGGGCGTGTTGGGGTCACGGGGGTGTGGGACCCGGGCGTGTTGGGGTCACGGGGGTGTGGGGACCCGGGCGTGATGGGGTCACGGGGATGTGGGGACCCGGGGCTGTGGGGACCCGGGGGTGTTGGGGGATCCGGAGCTGTGGGGGGACCCGGGGGTATTGGGGGATCCGGGAATGTGGGGACCCGGGCGTGTTGGGGTCCCGGAGCTGTGGGGACCTGGGCGTGTTGGGGTCACGGGGGTGTGGGGACCCGGGGGTGTTGGGGGATCCAGGGGTGTGGAGACCCTGGGTGTGTAGGGGACCCGGGGGTGTTGGGGTCCCGGGGCTGTGGGGACCCGGGCATGTTGGGGTCCCGGGCGTGTGGAGACTCCCAGGAGTGTGAGGACCCTGGGCATGTTGGGGGACCCCGGTGTGTAGGGGGCCCCGGGTGTATGGAGACCCTGGATGTGCTGGTGGGGGCCCCAGGAGTGTGAGGACCCCGGGCTTGTGCAGACTCCAGGGCGTGTGGGAACCCGGGGGTGTCCTGGAGAGCCCCCCCCCCGGGTGTGTGGGGAGCTTTGACCCGTCGCATCCCTACCGCAGGGGTCCGAAACGACTGCACACCCGACCCCGTGTTGCGATGCTGACATTTTAAATTCTTTTTGTGCCAGTGTTGACTGGTTATTGTGGAAGGATGTTTTTGAAACCATGGAGCCCCTTTTCGTTATTGATTTTTAAAAAAAAAAGCGTACTTAAACCCTTTTCTATTTACATTTCCGAAGCAATTGATGCCTTTCCTGACCTCCAAAATAGGTGCTTTTCGCTGAGAAAGTGATGGTAGGCCCAGTGCTACCATCCATTTAATTACTTTTCTTGTTTTTAGTTGTTTCAATAAGCTCCCTTTGTGGCCACGATTTTTGGCCAGTTTGATTTTGAACATTACAAACAAGATGAAGTTTTCAGTATCAAGTTGAGGCATTACTTTTATCAGAAGCATAATGTTATGCCTTGAACAAAAGCCTGATTGTGATGGGAAGGAGGGAAACAGCATATTTTCAGGGGAGACTTAGGATCTGAAATAAAGTCTTAAAAAAAAAAAAAAAAAGTCGGGCCCAACGGCATGGCCTAGCGGCTAAAGTCCTCGCCTTAAATGCGCCACGCCCCGGACTCCCATATGGGCACCAGTTCTAATCCCGGCAGCTCCACTTCCCATCCAGCTCCCTGCTTGTGGCCTGGGAAAGCAGTGGAGGATGGCCCACAACCCTGGGACTCTGCGCCCGTGTGGGAGACCCGGAAGAGTTTCCTGGTTCCTGGCTTCGGATTGGCCGTTGCGGTCACTTGGGGAGTGAATCATCGGATGGAGGAGCTTCCTCTCTGTCTCTCCTCCTCTCTGTATATCTGGCTTTGTAATAAAAATAAATCTTAAAAAAAAAAAAAAAGTCAGTTACATAGTCATAGGCTTCCTGGATATGTCCCTGGATAGGGCATTAACCAGGCTAATCCTCCATTCATGGGCCAGCATCACATATGGCCACTGGTTTGTGTCCAGGCTGCTCCACTTCCCTTCTAGCTCCTTAATGGCCTGGGAAAGCAGTTGAGAACAGCCCAAAGTCTTGGGACCCTGCACCTGCATGGGAGACCTGAAAGAGACTCCAGGCTCCCAGCTTCGGACTGCCAAGGTCTGCACATTGTGGCCATTTGGGGAGTGAACCAGTGAATAAAGATCTATCTCTTCTCTGTATAATCCTACCTTCAAATAAATGTTTTTTGCTCATTTTTCATTTCATTTTTAATGTTATTTACATAGTTGAGAGGGTGTATGCGCATGTGGGTGGGGGGCTCTAGGTATGCAGGAAGGTAGGTGGGACAAATTTTGATTTTTTTTTTCTTGTGTCCTCAGGAAAGGAAAAGGAGGTGGTCGCTTCTTGCTGTCAAACTCCATCAGCACCTGGGGATGGGGAAGCCATTCAGTGACACCCTGGAGACCCTGATATGGAGAATGTTCCTGGGGTGTTATTTGAATGGCTCTGCTAGCTCTGAGATGTCGCTGACCTCCTTACTCCAGGGTTGAGAAAATCTTGCCAAGTCTGTTGGCTGACCAGGTGCACCTTAGTGTATCCGCAGGCCCAGGAACATGGTACAAATCTTGGGCAGGACAGTGGTCCAGCCTATTCTGCTTTGCACCCTCTAATGAGGCACTTGGCATCCTCTGCTGGCCTAGATGAGCTGGCTATCATGTGCCCCATGGGCATCTGGGCGTGGTATCTACCACATGGGCATCATATCTATTGTGACCTTTCCCTGTGGTTGAAGTTCGAGTCTCCCAAGAAACTCCGCCTGGGGTGACCTTAGACTTAACTGTCATGGGCTCCAGCCAGTGCAGGGTCAGGGTTGATCCATCATTTGGCACCAGCCAATGATGTAGTGGATGCAGCGGCTTGGTCAGTTCGACTCAGCCCCATCTCTAATGCAAACTGACAGGTGCTGCAGCCCAGCCCATCCAGCCCACCACAGGCCTGGTCTTCACACATACCAGCAGATGCTGCACAGCCTATTAGGGCAAATCCCAGTAGCTCCCACCAGGCCTGCACCCAGTCCTAGTTTTTGTGTGGCCCAACCCAGTTCATCTGCATCCCTTCTGGTGTTCATGTGCATCCTTGGATGCTACAGTTCAGTCCAACCCAACCTGCCCCCAGACCCAGTCCTCACACTTGCTGAGTGCTGCTGCTGCCTTGTTCAGCCCAGTATGCCCCCAGATCTGTCTCTTGCACTCACCAGTGGAAGCTGCAGCCTAGCAGAGTCCCCAAAGTTCTCCTACCTGGCCTATTCCTAGCTCCAGATCCTGTGTACACTGGTGGGTGCTTCAACCCAACCTTGCATGGCCCACTTGCAGTCTCAGCTCTCACTGGTGGGTGTTGCAGGCTAGCCCACCCTGCCCCCAGACCCAGACCACACCAATGCTAATGGGTGTTGTGCCTGGCCTGCCCTGCCCGCAGTCTCAGCTATTGTGCTCCCCAGCAAGAGGTGCATTCTCTCAGGGGAGTTTCCTAAGTTCCCCTACTAGACCTGCACACATCATAGGATCTCATGCATTCCAGTGGAGGCAGTGACCGTGCCTGGCATGATCTGCCCTCAGTTCTGGCCTTTGCATGTACTAGCAGGTGCTGTGACCTGGCTAGGCCTGCTGTCCTCCAAGTCCCAGGTCCCGTGTCAGGTGGTTTCCTGACAGGTGAGTACTGTGATTCAGCATTGTTCAGTCTAAATTCCAGCCCCCAGCAATTCCACAGAAGTGAGCCCAAAAGTTCCCCACAGAATCTGCCCCAGATCTGGTTCTCTCACATTCTGGTGGCTGCTGGCAGCAAAGCTTGACGTGGGCCACTCTCTGCTCTGACACTTGTAGATGGGTACTGCCACCTAGCCCAGCCAGGCATGCCCCCTAGGACCAGGAATGCAGCAGGTAATGCTATTTAGCCAAGCCCAGGTCTCCCACATGGATAAGTGCCTTGGTCTAACCCATGTCCTCTGGTTTCTCCCTCTAAACCACTCTGTCTCTGCAAGCTTGCCAGCTGCTAATGCAGCGGTCAGGTCCATGGAAGCCTCCAGAAGTCACTCAGTGTCTGTCTAACACGCTCTCAGAACCCCAACCTGGGCTGTGTGCAGCCTCCCCAGCCTGGGGGTCAGGGTGGTGTGTCCCAACCAAGTGTTCCCTGCATTTCCCACATATCTTTAAAAAAAAAAAAATGTTACTATGATGGCATACTGGCATAGTTAAAGCAAATTTGTCATTAACCAGGCCTAGAATGCTTGCCAGCTATTGACTGCTTTTCTCCTAGTAGTGTAACACTTGGCTTAGGTACAAGGAACCTAGGCAGTTAACTACAGCTAGGATCTTTTCTTTTTAATTATTTGAATGGCAGGGAGAGGGGCCAGCACAGTGGTATAGCCAGTGAATCCTCCACTCGTGGCGTCAGCATCCCGTATTAGCATCAGTTCGTGTTCCTGCTATTCCATTTTCAATCCAGCTCTCTGCAATCTCTTGGGAAGGCAGTGGAGGATGGCCCAAGTCCTCAGGGCCCTACACCTATGTGGGAGTCCTGGAAAGAAGCACCTGCTCCTGGCTTTAGATTGTCTCACCTCTGGCAGTCGTAGTCATTTGGGGCATGAACCAATGGATGGGAAACCTCACTGTCACTCCCTCTTGTTCTCTCTCTGTAACTCTATCAAACAAACAATTAAAAATCAGGACTTTAAAGCAGCCTCGGAATGCAAGGGCCTCTAATGGTCTTACCCTCACCCACCTCCAGGGCAGAAAGCAGTTTTCGGCAGTTCCCTTGCCTGCCTGCAGTCCAGACATTCCCAAGCAGTAGCAGTGACCTGTGGTCCCATCCCTGGGCGCCCAGCAGCCAAGCTCACACACAGGGGAAAGTCTGACCTCAGCCAACACGTCTGAGCAAACTTCTCCACACTACTGTCCCTGTTTTGATCCCAGGAAGAATCATTTACCATCTTGTGTGTTGTGCCCATTGGAGGAATGACCCAGCAGATGAAGCTCTTTCCCTCTCTGTTTCTCTGCCTTTCAAATAAGCAAATAGAGATTACTGGTAATTAACTTATGAAGTTAGAACTAAAACAATTATATGTGCAAATTGTATGAGAAAAATAG